TAATGTATGTGGAACAAAGTAAGAAGTGAAACATTAGTTTCTTTCTTTTTTTTTTTTTTTTTAGATTTTATTTATTTATTAGAGACAGAGATAGCGAGAGAGAGCATGAGTGGGGAGGAGAGGGAGAAGCAGGCTCCCTGCCAAGCAGGGAGCCTGACATGGGGCTCAATACCAGTACCCCAGGATCATGACCTGAGCCAAAGGCAGACGCTTAACTGACTGAGACACCTAGGTGCCCCTTGTTTCTTTAAAAACAAAAAGCAACAACAACAAAAAACTAAATTGCATAAATCCACATTTTAATTAATTAATTAATTATTTTAAAAAGTACTGGGTGTGGAGCCCAACATGGGGCTTGAATGAACTCATGACCCTGAGATCAGGACCTGAGCTGAGATCAAGGTCATTTGTTTAACCAGCTGAGCTACCCAGGCACCCCTATTTATCTTTTAAACTAAACGTTGTACCCAACTTGGGGCTCGAACTCACAACCCCAACCAAGATCAAGAGTCGCATGCTCTATTGACTGAGCCAGTCAGATGCCCCAAAATGTTAGTTTTTTCTTTTAAAATTTCAATAAATCAGACTTTTTAACCTAATGAGCACATTCTACTGTAGAATTTTTTTTTCCATGTCTCACTAAAATTCTTCTTCAACAGATGTAGAAGATACAAAAAAAATCTATGCCATGAATATTTGACCATGAATTGATAGCATTTCTTTGTAAATTTGGAAATCCTTTGAAATAAAATGTGACCCAAATATTCATGGGGACGTTTATCTCTTATATTGTACAACTCATTTGCATCTGAAGAGAAGTACTTGTAATTTAAAAAATATTGATTCATTGAATCAGTTGATGTTTGATGTGTTATGTCTTATAGTCTATAGGCAGTTATTATTTGCTTAATTGTAAATTCAATAAATTTTAAAATTTAGCTCCTCAGTTCCATTAACCACACATAAAATGCTCAATAACCATACATGGCTCATGGTGCCTGCTAAAGAACAAAATTTGGCCAAGTAAGTTTGAAGATCTAATTGGTTTTATTAAAGAATTCATGGATTGCGCACCACCTCTTCTAGCAAGTTGAGAGAGGCACTCCCAAGCGTTGTATAAAATGGAAGGTTTTTATAGGAGGGTGGGGCAAGAAAGTTATTAGCAGAAGAAAAGGATTGACAAGGCTGTTTTCTAGTTCTCGGGGACCGGGTCTTATGCAGAGTACCTCATATTTCTTTGGGGGAGAGAGGACCTGGGGGAGAGAGGATCCAGATGACAGACTCACTGGCGCTGGTGGAAAGAAAAATTTCCTGACTGACCAGTTAAGGCCACATTTCTGGGGGAGGTTGAAACTGCAATTAGGATGGGTATTAAGCCCCAGTTTGGGAACTTGGTCTAAGTGACACTGTTTAGGGCCTGTGGTTTTCTTTTCTTAACACTACTGTATTAGGATAATGGAGTTCTAGACGTTTTGGTAGTGCATTTTCTTTTTTTTTTTTTTAAGATTTTATTTCTTTATTTGACAGAGAGAGACACAGCGGGAGAGGGAACACAAGCAGAGGGGGTGGGAGAGGGAGAAGCAGGACTCCCGCCGAGCAGGGAGCCCGATGCGGGGCTTGATCCCAGGACCCTGGGATCATGACCTGAGCCGAAGGCAGACGCTTAATGACTGAGCCACCCAGGCGCCCCTTGGTAGTGCATTTTCATACATATGTATGTACCTACCTACATTTTGTATCTATGTATATTTTTTCTGTACCTACAGAAATATTTAGCTTTGGGTATTTCTGGTAAACCTAATGGAATTATATTTGTATGTATTTTTCTTTCACTTGCTCATTTCATCTGCCATGTGTTTTGGAGCTTGTTCTGTCAGTACATAGAAATGTACCTCTATTATTTTAGTGCTGCCTAGAGTAGACCATAGTATGGGCATATTCTAGTGATTTTTATTGTCCCCACCTGATGTGCTCTTAGATTGCCTTCAGTACTATGCAACTTCATAGAATGCTCTGTTCTTCCTTGTATTTAAATATTTTTCTAATTTAGATTCTGAGAATTAAAATTACTGCAATTTTAGAAGTTTTCACATGTAAAATATTAATACTCTCAGACTGCAAACCAAAATGCCGTTTTACACTCCCAAAGAGAACTCCTTGCCCTGCACCCTCATCCACTTGACATTTTCAGTCTTTTTTTTTTTTTTTTAAAGATTTTATTTATTTATTTGAGACAGAGAGAATGAGAGAGAGAGAGAGCACATGAGAGGGGGGAGGGTCAGAGGGAGAAGCAGGCTCCCTGCCGAGCAGAGATCCCGATGCGGGACTCGATCCAGGGACTCCAGGATCATGACCTGAGCCGAAGGCAGTCGCTTAACCAACTGAGCCACCCAGGCGCCCCTTGACATTTTCAGTCTTTAAGAATTTTGCCAATCTTTGTGGATGAAAATCATTTTTAGTGTACATTTTTTGATAATTAGTGAGATTTAATGGTTTTTCATATTTTTATTAGTATTTCATTTTTAAAAAAGATTTTATTTATTTATTTGACAGATAGCGAGAGCAGGAACACAAGCAGGGGGAGTGGGAGAGGGAGAAGCAGGCTTCCCGCGAGCAGGGAGCCCGACTCAGAGCTTGATCCCAGTACCCTGGGATCATGACCTGAGCCAAAGGCAGATGCTTAACAGTTGAGCCACCCAGGCGCCCCTAGTATTTCATTTTTAATACAATACCAGTTATTTATTCCAAAAATAACGAAGCATTATCTAAAAACAGTATATATCCTGTGTTCTTGCTTTCCTTTGAGTAACTTTGGTCAGGTTGTTGGGGTGGGTCAGTTTTCAGTTTGCATCTCCATCATTTGCATTTTTATTTTCTGCAATTTACTGAGCAGTAAAACTGCTTAAAGACTATGTTAGGGAGGGCGCCTGGGTGGCTCAGTTGGTTAAGCGACTGCCTTCGACTGCCTTCGGCTTAGGTCATGATCCTGGAGTCCCGGGATCGAGTCCCGCATCGGGCTCCCTGCTCAGCGGGGGGTCTGCTTCTCCCTCTGACCCTCCCCCATCTCATGCTCTCTCTCTCTCTCATGCTCTCTCTCTCTCTCATTCTCTCTATCAAATAAATAAATAAAATCTTTAAAAAAAAAAAAAGACTCTGTTAGGGAGGAAGAAATACCCTCTGCCCTTCAAGGTATTTTTAGCTGGACTAAGAAATTGACATGAGACAGATTAACAGGAGAAAATCAAATTTAGTTTTGGACATATGGGGAATCCACACAGACATGAGATTCTAAAGACAGGGAACTTGAGGCTTATATGACATCCTGAGCTAAGGAGGGGGTTTAGGGGTATTGGGATACAAAGGGGAGGAAGACCTTTAGCAGGAAGGTAAGGGTATATGTATGGAAAACAAAGGTTGCCCTGTTACAGAGATACAGTAGATATGTTTCTTAAGGAGCAATCTCTGTTTTCTTCCTGCTACGGGCTCCTTTCCAATGTAAAATTTAGGCAGTTGAGAGGGGAGGTTAAGAGCTTTTCCTGAATCTGCTGGATTTTGATTGCTTTGAACTCAAAGTAATCTTCATGCCAAAGTGGCCCATTTTTGTGGCCCTACACTTGTATATGAGAAGAAAATAGGCTTTTTTTTTTTTTTACCTTGTTTATGTTACATTGTTACATACTGTTATGCATACATTTATTGTGTTTTCAGACAGGGATTAGAAAATACATTCTATGTTTGCAAACTGGTGGCCTTGCAAATGGCTAGACTAGCTGTTAAGTTTTGTTAAAAAACAAAATTCATCTGAGTAAATTGTGATCTTATTGGCTTTATTCAGTGATTTAGGAATTGGGCAGCATCCCATTTAACAGGTAGAAAGGAGCTCTAAGGAGCTGTACAAAATGAATGACTTTCATAGGCAGAAGTGAGTGAGAACAAGGAAATTATCCTGGCAAAAAGTGGATTGGTTGTGTTCACTTTCCTTTAGGAGATGGAAGGAGTCTTTCGGGCAGATTACCTCACTCGTGCTGATCACATAGTTCTTGATTGGTTTAAGATTCCATTTTTGGGAGAGCCAAAACTATAATTAAGTCTCAGGTGACGTGGGGCTTAGCATAAGTGACTCCATTTTGAGCCTGGTGTCTCATTTTTAAATAGTCCAAATTGTATGAATATAGCAAAATAAAAATCCTACAATTTAATAAAAGCAAATGCCATTTTGTTGTGTGCAGTCTTAAGCCATGATTATTCTGTTCTCACTGTGAATGGTGTTTTTTACACATGATAAAGCAGGCTAGCATATTCACATACGTTACAGCTAGAATAATCGCTTCCTTTAAAAACATAATTTTTATCTGATTTTCAGAACAAAAATTTTTTCCTAAGTAACTGAAAAAAATGTGGCTACTGTAGACTGTAGAATGAAGGAGAAGCTTAGCTTTACTGTGAAGTCTGAGTCTGGGTGGGTGTAACCTAACTAGCTAGAGGATATGCAATTGCTGATTGACAGCAGGACCAGCATTATGCAGATTTGGTAAGAGAGAACAGCAGCTCAGAAAACAGTGATTAGGGGCTCTGTTAGGAATCATTACATTCATCACTCATATCTTTAGTTTTTCATTTTCCTGTCTACTGGATTTATAAACAAATAGTACAAAACAGTTCCTCTTTTGTTTTTATTAAAGTGATAACTGCAATGCAGTTTGTCTATCAGCTAGGCATACATGTGTGGAAATTCGATATTCTCACTAAATTAGCTAATTTTTAGCTGTGTTCCATGTTTATCTCTAGACCTTTGTGTATTAAATCCTATCTCGAGCTGTTCTCTTTATACACAAGTGTGTTTTGCTTGTGCCTTCCTGTCTTCTTCAGTGAGAAGCTTTATGTAGGTCAGGCTTGGCTTAAGCAGATTTCCTGAACCTGCGTCAGCTTAAGCTGGAGGAATTTTAATAAACCCTCCCCTGTAGGCGTGGGCCTAAATGAGGCTAGCCTAGTTAAGCCTGATCTTTTTCTGTTTGTGAAAAGAGCTGAGCAGAGCTGAAGGCTGCTGCATGGTGGTTTCAGAAACTGCCTACTTAATTTGAAAAGAACAATGGTAGGAAAGGCTAGATCTTCCAATTTTACCTTATCTGAAAAGCTTGATTTGCTAAAGCTTGTGAAGCCATATGTTAAAATTCTCGAAGAACACACTAATAAACATTCAGTAATAGTGGAAAAGAATAGATGTTGGGATATCATAGCAGTAAACTATAATGCAATTGGAGTAGATCGCCCTCCTCGAACAGCCCAGGGCCTACGCACCCTTTACAAAAGGCTCAAAGAATATGCCAAACAGGAGCTATTGCAGCAAAAAGAGACCCAATCAGATTTTAAAGGCAATATTTCTGAGCCAACCAAGAAAGTTATGGAGATGATTCCCCAGATTTCCAGTTTTTGCCTGGTAAGAGACAGGAACCACATACAAAGGTAAGCTTTATTTTATTTTCTTGTGGAAAATTATGGCGCCTCCTATCTATTGGGCTCTGGCTTAGTTGTGATAGAGATATGCATAGTAAGCATCCCCACTACGGGAGCAATGAATAGTGTCTTTGTTTTGCTTTCTTAAAAAAGAAATGTGAGGCTATAAGGAATTTTTTTGCTGCATTTGATTTAAGCCACTTTTTATTGTCTTCCCCTCCCCCTTCCCTCTCTCTGTAGTTTTTAAAAGTAAAGGTTAGGAAGGAATAAATGGATGAAATTTGTAACATAATCTCATAATAAACTTTTTAAGCTTTAAATTTAAATTGCTAATTAGCTTCTGAGAGATATCTTTTTCTTATTTCATTTAAGTTTATATTTCATTGGAATTTTCAATTTTATGTAAAGTTAGCAGTTTCAGGAGAAATGGAACCCTTGTTTTTTAATGAATTGTTACTGTCTGCACTTTAGTGAATATTAATTGAGCTAAAAACCTAAAATAAATAATTTAGTAAATTTATTAATGGCATGATTGTATATATTAAGACAGTTTAAATTATTTCTAACATATTCAAAATAAAAAAGATAAATACAAGGAAAGGAATTTAATGCCTAATTAGGGATTCAGATTACTTAATAAAAAGTTTTTGTTTTTTTATTCATTAATGGTCTAGTTTCACTTTGATCTTGAGTCAAAGAGGAAAGGGGTAAGCACTCCCATACTATTTTGTAAAGATATGAAACTATGAATTTTAGTATATGAATAAGCAACTAAGTTCTTACAGGGATAGAAAGGTTTTTTGGTTAAATTTATGCTCTACATAGCTACTTGCGTGGGAATCTTCAAAACTTATCATTTCTAATTCAAATTTTAACCCCTGGCAAAAGATAAAAATGGCAGCTGCATTCTTTTTCTGAACCATTTAGGGTTATTTAAACAAGTTGTAAACTTGTTAGTTGAGGAACATTTCAAACAAAGACTTTCTTCTTGGTGGGAAAGTCATATAAGAAAATTATTGATCACCTGTGAAGTCCTTTTGAAGTTAGGAGAGAAATGGGCAAAAAACTTATTAGCCAAACTTATTTGTTATTTTTATAATTCACTAGGGTAATTTTTTTGAGACCAGCTTCTTACCATATACTGCTTACTTCTAGTAGATAACATAGTAAAAAAAAATCACCAGTGGGAATCTGGAACGTGGATGCAGTGTATTAATTCATTAGTGCTTAAAATGTTCTCTGTGATGAGAAATGATTAATCCTAATTTGCTGGGTATCCAAAGAACTCCACAGTAGGACTTTTACACAGTACTACTTGTTAAAAATTTGTCCCCCTCAAACCATAGAGAAAACTGGCTTTTGCATTACTGGTATAAAACTACCTTTTGGGTATTAAGTATAGGTTTTTATAATTTGAAGACTATACATAGAACCTGTAGTTTTAATTAGTTGTATATTTTAAAAATACAGTGAGTATATTAGAAGAAATAATATACAAGTATCTATTTACATTTTGACTGTTTGTAACCATATTCACAATCAGTCTTTTGGGATAACAACATTGCTCTGATAAAATGAGTTATTTAATTTATACATTACAAAACCTACTGTTTAAGCAAGAACAGCTTTTCCTACTTTAAAGGAAAGATTATTAGAAATATGCCACTTAAGTGCTTATTTGTGTTAGTGTCCACATTGCCATTTTCTCTGTATTAGCATTTTCATTTATTTACATATTTAATGTGCTTATTACTTACTTGAGTGACATCTTGAATCTTAATTCTCAGAAGTTTATAATCTGTAATCTTAGTTATGCTATATAAATATGCCTGTTAATCTCACTAAACTCCATTCTTAGCTAAGGAAAAGATTACTGCTTATATTTAATATATTTAAAGATATATACCTATTTTGTAAGGCTATCTCTATAGTGTATTGATATATTTCCTCATTTTTACCTCTCTCTAGTATCAGATTATATTTTGTGTTTTTGCAGTCTATTTGATCTTCAAAATTCATAAATTTTAGAAGTCCTTCCATTTATCCTTTTTTCTGACCTTCTCTAAAACATTCTTTTTTTTTACTTTGTTATGCCTACTTATAATGTTTCAACGAAAAGGAATGGGATATTTTAGATAAAAGGCATTTTAAAATTTACATGAGAGTATAATGTCTATGTCTAATAGTGAGTCTTATACTCCATTATACATACTAATTTGGATAGTAATTATGTGGATTTTTAAAACTTTCATTTTCATTTGTAGTTTTAACCTTTTTCCTTTCTAGGAAAACATCTAGGGATGTTAAAGGGAAGCCTTACTACTTTGAATTACATTGATATTGTATTGATATTGGTTTGTTTTTCTTTTGAAAAGCGTAAGATGACAAAAAGAATGAAAATTAAGGAATTTATGTAATCTACAAATAGATTTTTCATAACATACTATATCTTATTATTTATTTGTATCTCTTCAATATCTGATATTTCTGGCAATTTAATGCCAATAGTAAGTGATATACGGGGAGTTTTAATTTTTTTCCTTATGTTCTGCTTGAACTTGTTCCAGCATTTTAATCATCTATGTAGGGTGAAGGTATTTTTAACTGTGTTACTTATTTATCATTTGTAAAATATTCTTTAATGTTAAGTATAGCATTTTTTTCATTACTGTTCCAATAATCTCTTTCTCCTCTATAACTTATTTTTAAGTTAGGCAGAAGCATAAATTTAAAAAAACCCTCAAGAAACAAGATTATATATTCTTAATTAGTGGCTTCATGTTATTTATAAAATTGGTTTTTTAAAAATGTAGAATTTTAAGATATATTGTGTTTATGTCATAACCAATAATGTTACATCAAAGTTTAAATTATGCTGAAACTAGTTTTCTCTAATAGAAGTGCATATTTTATGGAAATTACATGTAAATTTAACAGACTTTCAATATATAGTATATAAGCCAGTTAAAAATAGTTCATTAAAAAAACCATTTTTTTCAGTCATTCAACATGTGATGAGCACCTGCTAGGTTCCAAGTACAGTATTATGCTAGGTGCTGGGGATACAGTGGTGGATTTGAGCCCTTTCCCTGTGAACTTTACGTGACTGATGGTTGAAAGACTGAAAGGGCTATGGAATCAAGTAATTTAGGATAGGTAAAGGATAAACACCATGGTATCTGAAATTGTATAGTTAGGATAATACCCTGATTATTGGGCATACCCAAAGCCATACAAAAACTTGGACTTTTTCTTTTTTTGGACAGATGTAGAAATCAGTACCTCCCATAGATGACTTTCCATTATCCTAGGAGTCATGGACCTTGGTGATTTTTAGATTTTTAATCAGTCCAGGAGAGCAGAAGCAGGGGATCTAGGGCTGAGGTATGGGGATAGCAAGGCCCAAAGTACAGTAAATGGCCCTTTATGCCATTTAAGAAAGTTAGGCTTGTAGGAACATGTGCTGTCTCTTTGAAAGCAAACAGAGGCTTTTCTTTTTATTTACCTCATTGGCCTTGGGTAATATTTGTCATTTTTTGTCCTTTTAAGAACTCAATTTTAAAGTTAAGGATGTGTGAGAGCTATATGTATATATTTTTGAAATTTTACATGTGGTCACTTTAATTTGTTATTCCAAGGATTAAATTTTTTTTTGTTTCACTGTTTTCTTTATAGCTCTAAAGCTTGACACTTTGATGTATACTAAATATGAAATTATGCTATCAATATACTCTTGTCTTCATTTGATTTACATTTTATAATGCTTTTTTGTGTGCTGTAGTGCAAACTTGGATGAGGAAGCACAGGCTGGTACGAGTTCACTACAGGTAATGTTGGATCACCATCCAGTTGCTATTACAGTAGAGGTGAAGCAAGAAGAAGACATTAAGCCCCCTCCTCCACTGGTTTTAAATTCTCAACAGAGTGATATTTTAGAACAAAGAGAAGACCATGAATTAGTACATGTTATGGAAAGATCTTTGTCGCCGTCACTTTCCTCTGTTGATATGAGAATGACATCGTCTCCATCTTCTATCCCAAGGAGAGATGATTTTTTTCGGCATGAGCGTGGAGAACACTTTAGGTCACAATTAGGGTATGATCCTCAGATTCTGCAAATGTTGAAAGAGGAGCATCAGATAATTTTAGAAAATCAAAAAAATTTTGGATTGTATGTTCAGGAGAAGAGGGATGGATTGAAAAGAAGGCAGCAGCTAGAGGAAGAGCTGCTAAGAGCAAAAATTGAAGTGGAGAAGCTGAAAGCAGTTCGCTTACGGCATGATCTGCCTGAATATAATAGTCTCTAATATTTTTTTTCAGTCTTGCAATTTGATGATTTTATTTTTGGCCAAATTACTTTCATTTGGGAATATCCTGAAGCAGAATACATACTCTTAAAAGTGTTGTTAATCTCAATTGTGAAAAAACCTTTTTTGACATGATTTTCTAATTAATTTAATTTTCTTTTGAGATATATTAAAACTTATTGATTGGTTGGCATGGTTATATATTTTGTCTTCAATTTTTTTCTAAGAAGTTTAATTGTTGGCCTTACAAAAAGATTTCTTACTTTGATCATTAAATTAGAACATACATAAATAGATATACAAACATATATATTCTTTCAAAGTTCTGAGCCTTCGACATTTTAAATTAGAGCTTTGAAAGCTGTAGTTCAAGGTTTTTAAGTCAGTCTAATTTAGAAGCAATACTAGCCTGATTAACAGAAGCTTGCCTATATGACATTGATTATTATGCTCTCCTGTTTTTGAAGAAGTGATAGGATTTTAGAGATGGAAGGTACTTGGAAATCACTTTTTTCCATCTCTTCAATTTAGAGGTAATGAAACTGAGGTCCAGGGAGAACTTAGTGACTTGATGTAACAAAGCTGTTTATGGCAGAGCAAGGACCAGCACTCAGTTTTTGTTTCTTTGTAGTTTTCCCCCCTGCTGTTCCATAGAAGTAAAAATCCACTAAAATGTGTTCCTTATGAAAAAATTATGGAAGTGTTTATTTCATTACAATTGCTTTTAAAGATTCATATAGGTTACAAAACCAGGGGACTTATCAGTTACCCCCAAACTTCTTCCCTTTTTTGTCTAGCAAAATAAGATGTTCTTTTGGAACAGTTATATATTTTGGCTATAAGATTTAATGTCTTCATTCATTTTTAATGTCTTATTCTGAAAAAAGATTTATTTTACAGTAAAAATCACAGTAAAAAAGTTTTAATGAACAAAATTAAAATTCTACATAGAAATAGCAAAAAATAGTTATGATTTATTCTATAATATTTTTGTAAATACTGCTTGTTTTAGTATTTGCAGAAATAAATAAAATCTCAATTCTTAAAGCACACATTAAATTTAAGTTAAATCTGGGGCTCATGGGTGGCTCAGTCGTTAAGCATCTGCCTTCGGCTCAGGTCGTGATCCCAGGGTCCTGGGATTGAGCCCCACATTGGGCTCCCTGCTCTGCGGGAAGCCTGCTTCCCCCTCTGCCCACTCCCCCTGCTTGTGTTCCCTCTCTGGCTGTCTTTCTTTCTGTCAAATAAATAAATCTTAAAAAAAAAATTTAAGTTAAATCTTTAATATATATATTCCATTTTTGCTGGTGCTTTGTTGAGGAAGAATTTTTAAGCCAAGCTTTAGAATGGAGTTCAGAATTTTAGTATAATGGAAAAGAATGTTTAAGTCAGAGTGAGCAACATGGAAAAAGGCATAGAGAATAGGAGTGAATCAGGGTATACAAGCACAAATACAGTGGTAGGCCAGGTGATTTTAAGTGGGTGTAGAGAGGGCCAGTTAGGGCTTGGTTACCTGGACTAGGATTAAATGAGTAGCTACTGTTTAGCTCCAGCAGAATTTTTACATGCAGGAATAAGCCGGAAGTCTTCATTTTTATGTGAAACTTTTCAACTTAAAAATGTTTGCAAATAATTCAGAATGTTTTAAAAACACTACACCCATGTGAGTGGGCCTCATTCAGCCAGTGGGCTTCCAGTTTGTGGCCTTTGGAGTAGAGTAATGGTTTACCAAGGGTAGAGCTGGACAGTAACATCAGCATCACTTGAGAATTTGTGAAAAATGTAAATCCATTAGTTTTCAATCAGAAACTCTGGAAGTGTAGCCCAGCAATCTGTTTTAATAACCCTCTAGAGATTCTGATGCAAGCTAATGTTCGAAAACCATTAGAACAGAGTGTTTGGAATGTAGCTAGGTGCCTAAATCATACTAGAGTCTCAGAAAAAATGTGTTGAAAAGAGAAATGGTTGAAGGTGAATTGAGGGACATCAGTTTGGAAGTTGATTGGTGCCACATTATGGATTACAATGAATGCTATTTTTAAATAATCACAGTTGAATGTACAATGGGAAGTCATTGAAGGCTTTTGATTAGAGGGATGTAAATTAAAGCTCTGAATTAGTGTTATAATAGCATTTATGGGGTGGGCATTTAGTTAGAGGAAATTAAATCCAGAATTTAGGTTATGGCTATTGAAATAGAATAAAAATAAAATGGACTTTCCTGGTACTCTTTTAGCTTGTTGATTGATTAATTTCATTGGCATTTTATATTTGCTATTAGAGTTAAATATTTTATTATAAAAATGCCTTGAATATGTAATATGATGTCTCTCTTTGGTAGTTTTCGTCTTTATGTTATGATTTTTCTTTGAGCCTAAACACTGGACTCAACAGATTAGAATCTTATAATTCTAATTTAATGTTTTTACAATATAACTCTAGTAATACATCCTTAAAGTAGTCAGTTTTAACTTTATGAAATTATTGAAAGCAAATTACCATATGTAATGGAATTCATATTATAATCTCAGCATGCTGCTCCTCAGAATTGATGTGAATGTTCAATTTGAATGTTGACTTAGTGCAGCCACATCAGTTTTCCAAGCTCTGTTCTGTGGAACATTAATTCCATGAGATGTTTCTAGGAGATTTCTATGTTCAAAGAAAGTGCAACACATATTTTTTTGTGTGTGGTTAGGTTCTAAAATCAGTGTGGAAGATAAAAATGTACATACAAAATTGCCCTTGAAAGTTTTTTTCCTGCCCATAAAATAGAGTAAGCATAGTCTTCTACCATCATATTTTCCTCCAGCATTGTTCAAGATTGTTGTTTCTTTGGCTGCGTCAGGTGACAGACTCCTTAGCATTTAGGGACTGAGTAGAATAAAAAATTTTATTTTTACATATGTTTAAATACCAGAATTGTACTCATTTCAGGGAGTTTACTGCCGCCATTTTTCTGAGTCAATCTTGTTTAATTTTAATTTGCCAAAATTTAAATGCCATGGTCTTTACCTATGAAATGTAATGCCAGAAAACATAGGGAAGAGTGATTTTATTTTTAAAATGTAGACTTGATTCTGTAGAAGAATATTAAATTGGAAAAATAAGCTAAGTCAAAATATTATTTCATCTAGTATATTAGTAATTGGATAGTAGATAGGTTATTTTTGCCACCTTCCTATCTTTTCTTATCCTTGTGATCTTAACACATTGTTATTTTTACAACTTGATTTTCTTTTAAATTAGGTATAATTTACAATGGCATCTTGAAAAAGTTAATGAAGCTCTTTCATTTCTAAAAATGCCATTAGAGGGGCACCTGAGTGCCTCAGTCGGTTAAGCGTCTGCTTTTGGCTCAGGTCGTGATCCCTGGGTCCTGGGATTGAGTCTCACATTGGGGCTCCCTGCTCAGCGGGAAGCCTGCTTCTCCCTCTCCCACTGCCTGTTTCTCTGCTTACTTATGCTCTCTCTCTGTCAAATAAAATCTTCTAAAAAAATTTTTAAACATGCCATTAGATTTTTTAAAATATTCAAAATAAGTACTTTGTCTTTTTGTATGAGACATAAACTTGGTGTTACTTCATTTTTGAAAGATTTCGCTCTACCCTGTTGCATCTTTACTTATGTGAAAATGTTTAAACTATGAATTTTTCCATGTGCCTTCTTTTAGAGTAATGTCAAATTTTAAATAGACATGTTTAAATAATTTATAGTGTGGTAAATTGTATTTAATATATACTGTAGATGATGGTGGTTAAATACTTTGTTAATACATATTCTTTTAAATACAGGGTGATACATTGTACTGCTATGTGTACTCTTTATGTGCCATAAGACAAAGAATTTAGTATCACTGAAGTAAAATTTTTTGATGAGGCACAATTGAAATAGATTTATTTAAATAATTGTGTTTATAGTAGACACAAAATGTACCATGTCTAAATATCATAATATATTTTTTTCAAATGTTAAGATTCACAAATTCTTAAAATCAATTTAGTATTTGATGATGAATTTGACAGTAAATATTTAAAAATAATGAGATGAAATATGGTTGTAATACTTAACAAATACAAAAAAGTAAATTCTTAAGATCTACAACCTAATTAAATGTTAACAGTCATGCTAAATCTTTGCATATGATTTTGAGAAATTGATTCAATATATTTTTATATATCTTAAATTGATTAAAGCTAGTAGCTGTAATTTGAGTTTGTATTATTTTTAGTTTTCAGTTGCTTTGTAAGTAGTGAAAAGCCAAATAAATAAGTAAAATAAAAATATCACCCATGTTAGCCCCCCAAATTTAAACTAAAATAGATAATATCATTAGACTTATACTTTGTTAGTACACCTTTCATGTTTTAAAATTATGTGTAAATTTACAAAGATTAAGAAACTCTTCACATAGAAAAAGTTAAAAACATTTTACAGTAAACATTCATGTGCCTACCACCTAAATTCTACAGTTACTGTTTTGCTATATTTGCTTTATCATGTATCCATCCATCTATCCATCAATTCATTTTTAAAAATAAAATGGTTATTTAAAACAAGTTGGAGAATTATTTAGAATCTTTTATGCCTAAACACTTCAGCATAAGTATTATCAACTGGAATTCAGTATTTGTGTGTGTGTGTGTGTGTGTGTGTTTTGGGTAAGATTTGCAAACGTGAAATGTACAAATCTTAAATAATGACTTTTGACAGGTGACTCTACCTGTGTACCTTAAATCCCTATCAAGATTTAGAATGTTATTATTACCCCAGAAAGTTCTTTCCTGCCCCTTCCTGATCAATCCCTTGGCACCTCAGACAACCATTGTTCTAATTTTTAAAAAGTCATAGATAAGTTTTGCTTGTTCTAGAACTTTATATAATTGGAATCCTACAGTATATACCCTTTGTTTCTCTTTTCTTTTACCTATCTTAATGTTTTTAATACCCATGTTTGTTCACCCTCTTATAGTAGTTCATTGCTTTCTGTTGTTGAGTGGTATTCCCTTGTATAAATATACCTCAGTTTATGTATCCATTATCTTTTGATGAACTTCTGGGCTATTTCCAGATTATGGCTATTATGTATAAAGATTCTGAGTATTCTTGTGTAAATTTGTTGTGGACATAATGCTGGATTAGGGAAGATCTATATGTTTAAGTTTTTAAGAAACTGCCAGGCATTTCCCCAAAGTGATTGTACCATTTTACGCTTTAACAGTGTATGTTTTTTTTTTTTAAATGAACCTGTGCATGCTCAATGATTGGAATGTCAGAATTGAAAGTAATAACTTTTCTGATTTTTTAGATGAGTTTAAAATGCTGAGCAGAAAATAAAAAAAATAAAATGCTGAGCAGATAGTTTTGAGATCTGGAAATATTGTAGTTTTATTGATTTTTTTTTTTCCTATTTTAGCCTTTACTGCATATATGCTTTGACAAGAGGTACTGAGAAATGTGATGAAATGTATAGTCCCTGCCATGCTCATAAAGTATCATTCTGAAAATACTTAATGCAAAGAAAGATCTTCTAGGTTTATTTTATTCATAATGATACTTAGATGACATTAAATCTCTCTTATTAAGAAAGCTATGGGGGCGCCTGGGTGGCTCAGTTGGTTAAGTGTCGGTCTTGGTTTTGGCTCAGGTCATGGTCTCAGGGTGCTGAGATCGAGCCAGGTTGGGGTCTGTGCTCAGCGTGGAGTCTGCTCGAGATTCTTTCTCCCTCTTCTTCTCCCCCTTTCCCTGCTGATGTGTGTGCATGCAAGCAGGCGCTCTCTATCTCAAATTATTAAAATCTTTAAAAAAAAAAAAAGATAAAACTATGGATGATTACTGGTTCA